TGTTAGTTAAAAAAGTAATTATAGACAATATAAGACAACCATAGATAAATAGATATATATATATATATTTACATATGTGGGAAAGTAGATAATATATATAAATGTAAAAGTACCTGAATATAACAACAAAACAGAAATATATATAATTTATAATTTATAATTTATTTTTTTTCAAATTTTTGATTCGTTTTAAGAGATGTTAGGTAAAAAAATAATCATAGATAATATAAAGCTAACCATAGATAAATATATATAATATATATGAATGTAAATGTATATATTTATATATGTAGAAAAGTAGATAATATATATAGATATAAATGTACGTAAATATAACAAGAAAACAGAAACATATATAAATACCCATCTGCAAAGATGTTGGCATCATCACCGAGTCATTTCTTAATCTACATTTAATTGGTGTCATTTTTACAACTCTTCCCATTCAATGAGGTCACGAAAAGATAGCATATGGAGATGTTAGTTTCAAACTTTATTATCATTTTCAAGAAAATGACAAAAAATAAATAAAGAATATATATATATATATATATAATATGCTATACATTGCCACTTATATTTGCAAATATTTATAAATATATATATTATATATATAATTAAATTAATTTTTTCTAAAAAAAATATGATATTTATGTTTTGAATAATTTGAATAATTTTTGTAAACCCTCAATTTCTTTTATCTCCTTCTCCAAATTAGAGAAACATAAGATGGGTTAATGTATATATATATATATATATATGTAAATTCTTATAAATTATTCCCAAAAAAGTCAAAAGTTTTAAAATATATATATATATATATATATAATATATTGATTTATTCCAACAAAATTAATTTGTGTGGTAGAATTCAAGTACAAATTTTCCTTCTACCAAATTTATTCCTCCCATAGCAAGCCTAAGAAGGAATCTTCTTCTCATCTCCAAAAAAATTCCCATCTTAATTTAGTTCTACATAATGGACGGTTGTGGTGGACCCACGTGGCATGCTTCTTCATTACCTTGGACGGTCCACAACACTCGATGAAATTTCTGTATGATTATCTACCGTCCATTTTTTTTTTCTTTTAAAGGGGACACTTTTTTTTTTATAGTATAAATAAAAAAAAAAGAAAAATATCACCCACATTAAAAAGTATAGAATAAAATGAAAATTAAATATTATTATATGGTTTGATTGAGAATATTATATGATATATACCTTCTTGGCTATAGATTCTTATTATGGGACCATACGGGCAAACATTATTTATTATATTATAAGAAAAAAAAAATACAAAATTCAACTAGTGTAGTAATTTAGTTGTTGAAATTTATATATATTATTATAATTTTATTTGAATTTTTCAAAATTTTATTTTTTATAACTTTTTAATAATTTTTTTCTCTCAATTACTTAGAATTTTTTAAATAATTTTTACAAAATAGA